AAACGTTTACAAAGTGGAAAATGCTGTCTATTCTTAAGAACAGAACAAAGAAGCCTCTATCAAACAGCTGGTAAATCACAGGCTAAATTAAATGGTATATGTCTAGAAATATCGTGTCTACAAAAAGATCTGCTATTACCGTCAACCGTGCAAGTGTTGGGTATGAAAAATTAATGCAGTAATACCTGAACTGTCCGTGATAGAAACATCACTGCAGTGTACAGGCGAAAATAATAAATCCAATTTAATAGCGTTTCCATTAGCCGTACATCAGTATTATAGCCTATTATAGGATAGACTAATTCATAGATGACAACATATCAAGTAAATAATTAGTTTATTAGCATACAACGTTATAATTTTATTTTCTCATTGCTTTCTTGATTTAATTGATTGATTTTAGAAATATGAAAGCGTAGCGATTTTTGTATTGATTGCCGCATGCATTCTTATGTAAAATGTGAATACTATAACTATCAGATGGCAATTGTGAGTAGCTATGACGTGGTTTAGTGTTTTGAGTAGTCATGCTCACTAAAATGTCCAGACTTATGGCGGCGTGGTGGGCCGGGTCATTGGGCTCCCTAAAATATGGTCGAGCGCAGTGATGGCTGGCTCATCCGTCATATTCGTGAACGGGTGCTGCTTGTAGGGACTGGTTTGCTCTAATCACTATGACTGATTTCCTCTTATTAATTGTTTAACCAGTTGGTTATATATTAAATATTTTTCTATTTGAGTATTTAATTGAATTAGTGCTAATTGGTGGTTTGTATTCACACACTTAAACTTAAAAATGTAAAGTAATAATAAAATTATTTAAAAGAGGTGTTGCTCTTTTCTTGCAAGTTTCTTGCTCGTTCTTCTTGTGATGAGACAGTTTTCCGAACGAGCGGTAGGTTAAAAAAAATGTAATAACTATTCAAAAGTGCTTCAATGTAAGTTTATTTGAATAAATGATTTTCTATTCTATTCTATATACTAGCTGTATACTACGGGCACACCCGTGGTTTCAGCTGCGTGAAATTTATAGCCTAGATGGTATTATGATGTATAAGCTATATTACTGTAAAGTTTCATTAAAATCCGTTAAGTAGTTTTTGCGGGAAAGAGTAACAAACATCCATCCATACTCACAAGCTATCGCGTTTATAATATTATTAAGAAATAGAAATCGAAATAATGTTTATTAAAATAAACTCATTAACAAGCACTTTTGAATAGTCATATTTAGATATTTTTTATTGTACCACTCATTCGGAACGCAGATCCATCACAAGAAACTTATGTGTTGATCTTTTGAATAGATGTTGTAAAAAAAACGTAACTACTTTTTATGCAGTCAGGTAATTGACGTGACTGATTAGAAACAATGGACACAGTACAAATTCCATTATCACTCGTTAATAAATCCGATTCAAGCTTATTACTCCCCTCGGCTGGGTCCGGATTACGTATCGATATTGGATTAATTTTAGTCGCTTTCATTCCTATTGGTTTTTCAATTTAATCACTAACCTGATATCCTGGTTTCCACGAACTTCAAATTGGAGACTGTACCCGTAATATTGTGTATTAAACAATATCTCAGGACAATTAATACAGCGCCATTTAAGCTGAGCTTGTAATAATACAATTTCTTTCAAAAAAGTTTCTGATATAAAAACCGATTATTTTTTGTAAATACATAAATAATATACATAGAAAACACCCAGACCGATATAAACAATCATACTCATGAATACAAATGTTTGCATATTTAAGAATATAATAATCTCTCAGGAAAATACACGCAGCACCATCTAGTCTCAAGCTAAGGAGAGCTTGCTAGACAACAGATTTAAAAACGTAGCTAATTTTTATATATATACATACATATCTACTCGTCTGAATACAAATGTTTGTACCGACTGAGGAATCGAACTCGCGATCATTGGAAGTAAAGGTGTACTAAACCGATAGTCCACCGAGGCCTTCATATATATATGAAGATATATGAAGATCAAATCAAATCAAATCAGATTTGCATGTATAATATTAGTATGATTGTCACTTTAAATATTTTCTTTTCTTTATTTTCTTTCATTTCTTTCTTTTCTTTCTTTCCTTTCTTTTCTTTCTTTCTTTTCTTTCTTTTCTTTTCTTTCTTTAACAGAGACCTTTGCGAGACTTAGACTCTGTACAAAGTCGTGTGCATGGCTATTTATGTTTCACCTGAAAAACTTAAAATCCATAGCGCTGACAATATTATCTGATTGTACTAAAATGAGTGCGTAGCGGTTTCTATGTTGATTATCGCATGCCTCTTACTTGTTATACTGTAATTATTTATATAATAATATATAAAAAAATAATGTATTCAACACAGCAACACACATTTCTTGCTCATTCTTGTGATGAATCTGCATTCCAAATGAGTGGTAGAATCAATATATGACTATTCAAAAGTGCTTGTAATGAGTTTATTTGAATAAAGATTATTTCTATTTCTATATGTAAAATAGATCTCCTGAGAAGACCGGTATTGGTGAGGGCCGGACACAAGTCTAATTTTACGATTGGTTGTATGAACTGTTTCTTGACAGAGCATGAGCAAGTCATTTATAAACACCATAAAATACCCATACACTTACGTTGGCAATTACCAATTACTTTCAGGTGGGCGATCCAATTATTTACAACGTATCGGTAACATAAAAACCGAACTAAAACACGTAATCGTTCCGCCATTTGGACCTCATTACGCATTCTATTAGTTTTACAGCAAATACCAAGTGATGGAGCACGGTTTGCATTTAAATTGCCTTTTATATAGCAGTATATAAGGTTCAATTTGATTTATTGGGCTGTGAATTGGTGAACAGTAATGGGGTGTCTAGACTGGCGACCTATTTACGATTGCATGAGGCATAAATATTGTACGTTTCGTGGTTGAAATCGGTGTTAAAATACTTTCAGGAGCAGATACTTCAATCTGATCAATATCCATCAGAAAGGGATTCTACAAAGAAATTTACTGGAGTAACTCGGTCTACCATTTCTCAGCTAGCTTTCTAAACGATGTTTAGGTTGAAGGAAAAAATTTTTCCATTTTTATCATGCAATCAGTTTTTCAGACTATAAGCAGATTATTTGTCGTGAGAGGTTGAGAATCTCATCTCTCAATTGAGAATGTGCTTCAGATACTCCAGCTTATGCCAGGTTGTTGAAGTCTGGTATTTTACGTCTCTTAAGATGTGCAATATAATCAGGCCATGTCAGTTGAGCAGCAAGTTGATTCGGATGTCTGTCCAGTTTTTTTTTATCGTCTGTGATATTTCTCCTTGACAGAGTTGATCCTCGGGTGCTGATGAACCTCCGAGAATAAACAGGGGGCGTTACAGGTTTCCTTCAATGTGTAGTTTGAGCTCTTTGAATTTTGTTGATGTTGGTAACACTTGCAGAACCCCAAAAATAGAAATAGAAATAATCTTTATTCAAATAAACTTAATTTTTTTTTATACTACGATGGTGGCAATCGAGCATACGGCCAATCTGATGGTAAACGGTTACCGTAGCCTATGAACGCCTGAAACACTAGGGGTATCACGTGCGCGTTGCCGACCCTTAAGAAACCTTAATATATCCTTCAAAGCACTTTTAAATAGCCAAGTTTTTTTATTCTACCGCTTATTCGGAATGCAGATTCATCACAAGAAGAATAAGCAAGAAACTTGCGTGTTGCTCTTTTAAACAATTTTATTATTACTTTACATTTTTAAGTTTAAGTGTGTGAATACAAACCACCAATTAGCACTAATTCAATTAAATACTCAAATAGAAAATTTATTGAATATATAACCATATTGATAGATCACTATGTCAGTCAGTCAGTCACCATTGAGTTATATATATTTAAGATACAAAAACACAATCTAAACATCTGGATATTATCTATCCAGCATTTAATTTGATGACATATAATAAGTGATAGTTACAGACATCTGCAACTTGTCTTAACGTTTATTGCAATGAACGTCCACTAACGCTAACATTGTGTACGTGGCTTAATAATGCCAAGTGTAATAATAATCTTAATAATAATAATAATAATCTCAGGACAATTCACACAGCGCCATCTAGACCCAAGTTAAGCTAGCTAAAGCTTGTGTTATGGGTACTAGATAACTGATACAAGTACATAGATATATTTTTTTTTTGTAAATACATACATATTATATATAGAAAACACCCAGACCGATACAAACAATCATACTCATGAATACAAATGTTTGTGCCGTGCGAGGAATCGAACCCGCGACCATCGGTCGTAAAGCGGTGTACTAGACCGCTGGACCACCGAGGTCGTCAAGTGTATTAATGTATTTCTAATCATTTTAGCATTGTCTACTTTACTTCTTAGTTTTTCTAGAAATAGAAATAATCTTTATTCAAATAAACTCATTACAAGCTCTTTTGAATAGTCATATTTTGATTCTACCACTCATTCGGAATGTTGATTCATCATAAGAAGAATGAGCAAGAAACCTGTGTGTTGCTCTTTTGAATAGATGTTTTTTTAAATAACAATTATAGTATAACAAGTAAGAGGCACGATAATCAACATAGAAATCGCTACGCACTCATTATTAGTGTAATCAGATAATATTGTCAGTGCTATGGATTTTAAGTTTTTCTATAAAAACATTATTGTCGTTAACGAATTCTTCAATTTCATAGTAAGATTTTTAGTAAGCTATGGCCTAATTTCGCCATGTACTTATTCAGCTTGCAGGGTCCAGTGAGGGCCAAATACAACTACACACCTTTACAATTAATTTATTAATTATTACAGTTTTTTTTTTTAAATATGGTTGATTTTTTCCAGTCACAGATATTTTCCATCCTTCAAATAGAGATATGGACTTCAGCGAAATAACACTTCGATAAAATAATAAAAAAAATATACAGCTATTTTTACAAAAAGATTAATCATAATTATCAACTTTCAAGAAACTGACCTGTCCATCATCTCTCCCTCAGGCCTGTTGATGGCTGCATCTTTGGATGCTGAATACACGTAAACCCTGGTGTCAGCCTTGTACCACTTGATGCTGTGGAGGTCTCCACAGGACTTGCCGTCGATCCGACAACGGAGGCGAGCTGTGTTGCCGACTATAGCTGACGCGTGATCTGTGGGCAAACAGAGAAAATTACTATTATTATTTGATAATATTAATACTAAATAACAAGACAACTTTGCTATCCCCAAGTATCGTTTAGAAAAAGTAAATAGATCTTTTATATGAATAGGTATAAAAATTTACAATAAGTTACCAATGGATATATTGGAATTACTCTTAAAGAAATTCAAAACATCTGTTAAATCATATTTACTGAGCAAAGCCTATTACTCACTAAACGATTACTTGAATGACGAGCGTGCATGGCAATAGTTGTTCATGCACGGGATTTTCATTTAATGTTAGACATAGACACATACACAAATATATATCGTATATAAACTGGCTTTTTAAAAAAAAGTAATTCAATTGAGTTTCTTGTCAGTTCTTCTCAATTGGATCTATATACTGAACTGGACGGTAGGGAAAAGAAACTAAAATACCATCTTGATATTCTGGATGAATGATATGATGGAAATACCATTGCTGGAAGCTGATTCCACAGTGCTTGTGCGTGACAAAAACTTAAAAAGAAATTTTCAAAACTGTTACAAAATAAAGTTTATTCCAATGAAGGTTTACTAATGTTTAGCATTTACGAAAATGCATATTTTCTTTTTAAATAGAATGCAACGCTGTCGCACATCGAATAATCCCGGGCGTCCCGTGAAAATCCCCGAATCCCGGAAGAGTATCCCGTTCAATTAACTAGCGAGCCTAGATTTTATTTAAAATCCGTTGTGCACCATGGCCGCTGACAACAAAATAGAATAACAGAAAACTGTGTCGGAATGTGTGCATTTAATAAAAAAGAAGATAGAAAGAAAAAATATTTATTCAGTGCTTTTGAACACTGTAGCAATAGAAACAACTTAAAAATACTTTATTTGTAATACAGTAAAGAAAGATAAACGATATATTAATAATAATCTCAATTCACACAGCGCCATCTAGACCCAAGTTAAGCTAGCTAAAGCTTGTGTTATGGGTACTAGATAACTGATACAAATAAGTACAATTTTTTTTCATAAATACTTACATATTATACATATTATACGTAAATAATTACATATACATACATACATAGAAAACACCCAGACTGAAATACGGTAGATTAAAAAATGTAATGACTATTGAAAAGTGCTTCAATGTAAGTTTATTTGAATAAATGATTTTCTATTCTATTCTACAGACACAAACAATCATACTCATGAACACAAATGTTGTTGAGGAATCGAACCCGCGACAAATCGCTAGACCGAGGCCCTTATTGTAGGTCTAAGTAATAACCGTGTCAAATTTAAAACAGTATAATCTATCAATATGATTTTTTAGAAAATAATACGCTATTTTTCATACGTTTTCACGCTGAAAATTGATATTTTTGTCGCCACAATCTCCTTATTAGTTGCATAATCTGCTGCTATCACGACATCGCTCGAGTTTGTAAATATGGATGAGGACACATTGACAAGCGCGGGCGGATAACATTCCTATTTGCATAGTACGGTACTATACTATAGACGTGCGGATCAGATAATAGCGAAATAGTTTTAATATCATACATAATTTTTTTTTAAATATACTTGTAAATATAAAAGGACTTACGTACATAAATAGACTTATGTGGTACTTAGATAGACATATATGGCTCATTCATCATACTCGTGAACGAGTGCTGGTTTTAGGGACTAGTCTGCTGTAATTTAATGATATTATACATTTAATATTCGAGCCTAATAAATTAGTACCAGTTGGTAGTTTGTATTCACACATATCGACTTAAAAATGTAAATTTAAATATATATAATTTAAAAGAGCAACACGCAAGTTTCTTGCTCGTTCTTCTTGTGATGAGATAGCTTTCCGAATGAGCGGTAGATCAAAGGAATGATAACTGTGACTATTCTAAATAAATAAAGGGCTTAAATTAAGTTTATTTGAATAAAGGATTTTCTATTCTATTATTTGATTCCTAGCACGGGTCGGACATTTGTATTCATGAGTATGATTGTATCCATCTGGGTGTTTTCTATGTATATTATGTATGTATTTACAAAAAGAAATAGCTATATATTTATATCAGTTGTCTAGTACTCCATAACTTAAAGTTTGACTTACCTTGTGACTAGATAGTGTTGTGTAGAAATTATTAAATGGTTGAAGTGTTTTAAAATAATAATACCATAAACGATGCCGGGGCGTGTATTTGAATAAGATTGAAAAATAATCTAAATACTTATATATAAATCAAAGGTGACTGACGTAGTGATCTATCAACGCACAGCCGAAACCACTGGACGGATCGGGCTGAAATTTGACATGAAGGAGGATGTTATGTAGGCATTCGCTAACAAAGGATTTTGATTAATTCTACCCCCAAAGGGATAAAATAGGGGATGAAAGTTTATATGAAACTTTGCATTTGCATAAAGCTACTATGACGTAGACATCTTCTAAAAAAGGATTTTGATAAATTCCACCCCTAAGGGAATAAATTAACGCAAGCGAAGCCGCGGGCAAAAGTTAGTATTGACATAGATTATAAATTACGAAGCGCCTAAAATATCTTCTTAGCAATAATTATAAGTATTGCATATTGTTGCTAATAGAGCGTTTCTGGCGTAAACATGTTGTGTATATTAATAAATGTTGTGTGTAAAATAATAATAATAATAATATCAGGACAATTCACATAGCGCCATCTAGTCCTAAGTTAAGCTAACTAAAGCTTGTGTTACGGGTACTAGATAATTGATACAAGTACATAGATAATTTTGTTTTTTTCGTAAATACATACATATTATACATAGAAATGCATGTGAAACACATTTTTATAGAGTTGTTTTAACGATACAATATTTTACTTTAGTATAATCAATTTTAGTTCTATATATCACACTTAACCAAACCAAATCCGCTGCCGCATCGTTAATGAAAGCTTCGACACAATGTATGGGAACATAAGTATTTTATAGAGCGGCAAAAAATGTCATACGACGTTGTAAACAGCTGTTATTAAAATAAAAAAATAGCGCAAGTTTGTAGGTAATTTTTAAAGTTTCAAACATTATGTTTTTTTTTTATATACATATAACTGGAATGTTGAACAAGTAGACTACAGCTTACTTTATAACAATAATAATAATAATCTCAGGACAATTCACACAGCGCCATAGTCACATAGACCCAAGTTAAGCTAGACGAAGCTTGTGTTATTTTTTTATGGATGATAATGGACTGATGCACCCGCCTGCGCTAACGGTTTACGCTGGCGGGGCACCAGTGGAGGATGATAAGATGAGGTCAGGTCAGTTAGCCCAATGTGACAAATGAACCAGGAATTTATCACGATTGTTTCCGGGGGGAACCGCATGGAGGTCAACCTGATTGGTACGTTGCTAGCAGTGGGGTCATGAGTCCATTACTAACAATCCCGTTCCCCCTATTATGGGTACTAGATAACTGATACATATACATACCATCATCATCATCAGCAGCATCTCACTGCAGTCCACTACTGGACGTAGCCTCTCCCAGGACAGACATATACTACCTTTTATTTCAAGAACGAAGTATTTTTTTATAACACAGGGGATAAACGAGCATGCGGCTCACCTGATGGTAAGTGATTACCGCCGCCCATGAGCACCCGCAACACCAGGGGAATTGCAAGTACGTTGTCGGCCTTTTGAAAAGGAATAAGCTCTTTTCTTGAAGGTTTCAATATCGTATCGGTTCGGAAATACCATTGCTGGAAGGTGATTCCACAATGTGGTTGTGCGAGGTAAAAAGTTAAAGTAAAGTCAAATAAGTTATAGCTAATTAATAATAAGTAATCATATATTAAGTAATAAGACTGAGAAGTTAGATTTCCACTAAATTGCTCCTTAATTGTAGTGTATGGTAATTTGAAGCTGTGAAAACATTTCCTTGAACAAGAATTTGGAGCGGAGCCAGGTGAATATTTTAGTCGTATGACGGTATCGTTTGCTGGCCCATTAGTTATGCAACTTTTACTGGAATAACATCTTATTTTACTTATTCTAGCTGGTCCCGCGGTTTTGGGAAATTTATAGCCTATGTTTGTTCTGATGTATAAGTTATATTATATTATATAAGTTATATATATTAGTCACAGTAAATTCATTTAGTAGATTTTGTGTGAATGAGTTACAAACATACATCCATCCATCTACACTCGACACAGCCATGGAAAATGGTAGAAACTCAGTGCATTGTTTGCTGAAATTGTTCAGAATTACATTTTAAACAATTTTGAAAAAAAATTGTGAATTTTGTGTGAATACGTTTGTATTCATAAAAAAATCTTTAAAATAAAGTCAAATAAGAAATATAAACAAATAAATAATTACTCCAGTAACAAAATCAGTGAGTCATAGTTAATAATAATTAATAATAAGTAACCCCGAACAATTACCACAGCGCCATCTAGTTCCACGGTAAGCAGAGCTTGTGTTATGGGTACTAGACAACTCATATAAATACTTAGATTTTATAATATACATAGAAAACACCCAGACTGATACAAAGAATCATATTTAGAAATACAAATGTTTGCACCGTGCGAGGAATTGAACCCACAACCATTGAAAGTAAAAGGGTGTGCTAAACCACTAGACCACCAAGGTCGTTATCAGAGCCGGTAACAAGCAAGTCTGTTTAAAAATAATAAAAACATTAATCATCAACATCATCAGCCCACTGCAGTCCACTGCTGGACATAGGCCTCTCCCAAGGCACGCCACTAGGTACGATCTTCAGCCCTTCATCCAGTTACTACTCGCAACTACGTACGTCGTCGCTCCACCTAGCTGCGGGGCGTCCTACACTACGTTTGCCAATCCGCGGTCTCCACTCTAGAACACGTCTACTCCAGCGAGCATCTGTTCTGCGACAGATATGACCATCCCACTGCCACATCAACTTGCAAATACGAAGAATTAAATACAAATATAAAAATATTATTCAACGCAATTTGTGTAAAAA